CCATTTTTTCATAGGGTGCTGTATGGCCTCCCATTGCTGCTGCCTCCACCCGCCACACTGTGGCTCCACACTCTGGTTTTGGCCCCGTGACTGCCCAAATGAGTGAAGTGTGCGGTGATTCTAAGATCGACGGTACTCATCTGCATGTCATACTGACTGACAGTATTATTTCTCTTCCCCAGCAGACTCCAAGGGCATTTAAATTAAAGGTACAGTGTTCTGCACTAATATAAAGGCTCTCTGAAGCCTAGAAACACCTTTTTTATAAGTTAAATTCGCAGCGAATATATTCGACTCGAATCGAATTTATTCCGCAAATTCGCTGAATCGAATTTTTGAATAATTCACTCATCTCTAGTGAGGATCATTGTTTCCCCTTAGCCGGTGGGCCCAATCCTGGGGTTCACCCTGTAATAGGGAAATAATGAATCCTACCTTCACGTTTTCGGTCAGGAAGGTACGGGGTTGTAGCTCAAAGAACAAGAGACAGGAATCACGGAATGACCGGAAGCGTGTGCGGTCCCCGTGAAAACGCTCCGGTAAGGGTACTCGGGGATCTGCCATAGGGAGCGGGGCGGAAGCCCCTGAGACTGGCTCCTGAGCTACCAGGGCCGGGGGTGCAGAAACCGGGGCCTGTGGGGCAGGGTCAGAAATAGAGCCAGTCTGGAGGCGATTCTCCAGCTGCATGCATCTGTCCTGCAGGGCCGTTACGGCCTGCGTCAAATTAGCTAGGTGCTGCAAATTTCCTCTAGCGGGGAGGGCCCTCCTCTAGGCTCAGTCATGGCCTTTTGGTACTGTAAGGGACCGCCCAGCGGTACCACTAGCACTCCACTGATCGGATGTTCCCAGCGCACGGAGTCTAAGCCCCAGAGTACTTGTTCACCAGGGCCCCTGATGGTGGGGATGGACTTGGAGTACCCCAGGACCAGGTCGTGACTACTGAGGACACCCGTCAGTGGTAGGGGTATTCGCCAGGGGCTCCCACGGGAGAGAGCCTGGTATGAGGAGGTCTGGAGACCCCGTTGAGAGGGACGGATGGATGGATGGATGGCTGAGCAAGTGCAGGGTCATACAAGCCGGGACGGTAACTATGGGGACGGTGCGGTACAGAGCAGCGGGCAAAGAATAGTCGGGTCACACGCCAGGTCAGCAGCAGCAGGTCAGATCCAATAGGGGGCATTCAGGAGAGAGGTCAGGCAAGCAAGGGTCAAGAACAGGAGAAAACAGCAAGGTCAGGGCACAATCCGGGTCAGCAACTTACTACAACAGGTTCACAGGTTCACAGGATACAAGGAGACCAAAAGGCACTGAATGACAGCTCAGGGCCGTTTAAATATCCCGCCCTGCGCTGTCATTGGTGCCAGGCGCGCGCCCGTGGTCACTACTGCGCATGCGCGAACCTGATTGCCGCGGTCGGCGCTCGCGTACAGGGAGGTGTACTGCGCCTGCGCCGAGCCCAGCGGCGCGGCGATCTCCGACATTTATAGATAACACTTTCTCAGATACTACAGAAAGATGAAATGTAACATATTGTTACTTTTGTATCATTCTGTTCATTCATCTGCAGGTCAAAGGGATAAACTTCGATCTGCAGATGAAGTTAGTTAAAGTACTGTATATGTAAACCTGCACCTTGTAAAACAACCCAGCAGTTTAAAATAGAAATGGAAGGCAAAACATTTTTGGATACTTCTAAAAATATTTATAAATACCCCCCCCCCCCCTTTTTTTTTTAAATGATCACATACCCTCTGTTCTCAGCTGCATAAGGAGCTCAGGGAGGAGAAACAGCAGCACAATTATTTTTCCAGTGAATGGCCGTGCAAAGGGGCTGTCAGGAGAAGTCTGATCATTGGAGGAGAGCAGGCTAAGTTCCCAGCACATCTATAAAATGGACCATGCTGTGTTCTCATACTTAGTGTGGTCAGTTTTTAATAGGAAAACAGTGGGACTGGCAGGAACATCAGGGATTTCACAAAGTAAATAATACAAAGAGAACAGTAAACTTTTTAATATAATTACATGGTACAGCAGGCACTTGAAATGTTGGGTTTATATTTTCTTTAAAGCAACCTGACAAGTAAAAAAAAGTTTAATTTTTTTCTTCTTTTTTTTATATAAAATGTGTCTCTATTTAACCACTTAATAACCCTTAGTTTGGTCTAATCAACCCTAATTAACTCTTTATAAATCTTATCCATTCAGTTATTATTTTCCTGCAGATTTTGTGTTGTTTGTGTCTGTTGTATTAACCATTAACCACAAGCCTACAGGGCACTTATACCCCCTTCCTGCCCAGGCCAATTTCCAGCTTTCAGCGCTGTTGAACTTTGAATGACAATTGTGCGGTCATGCAACACTGTACCCATATGAAATATTTATCATTTTTTTGTGACAGATAGAGCTTTATTTTGGTGGTATTTAATCAACTCTGGGTTTTTTTTTATTCTTTCTTAAACAAAACCAAAACCACTGAAAATGTTGAAAAAAAAAGTTTTTTCTTAGTTTTTTTTAATAAAATTTTGTAAATAAGTGATTTTTCGACTTCACTGATGTGCACTAATGAGGCTGCAGTGATGGGCACTGATAGGCTGCACTGATGAACATTGATAGGTGGCACTGATGGGCACTGATGAGGAGGCACTGGTAGGTGGCATTGATCAGCATTGACAGGCATCACTGATAGGCACTGAAAAGCAGCACTGATAGGCGGCACTGATAGGCGGCACTGACTGGCACTGATAGGCGGCACTGACTGGCACTGTTAGGTGGCACTGACGGGCACTGATAGGCGGCACTGATGTGCACTGATAGGTGGCACTGACTGACACTGATAGGTGGCACTGATTGGCAGCACTGTTAGGTGGCACTGATTGGCATTGATAGGTGGCACTGACTGGCACTGATGGGTGACACAGAAAGGCAGCTCAGATGGGCACTGATATGTGGCATTGATGTGCACTGGTAGGCACTGATATGTGGCATTGATTGGGCACTGGCACGTGGCACTGATGAGCACTGACAGCTGGCACTGATGGACACTGACAGGTGGCACTGCTGGGGCTACACTGATCATCAGGGCACACTGATTATCAGTGCACTGATGATCAGTGTACATGTCCCCTTTGCGGAATGCTGATTACCGGCTCTCCTCTCAAGCTGTCAGCGTGACAGCTCGAGAGGAGAGAAATGCTGATAACCGGCATTTCCCTGTATACATGTGATCAGCTGTGATTGGACACAGCTTATCACATGACCGAGCCGACATCTTCGGCTCTTTCTGTGGATCGGTGATCCGCTGTGTCCGAGGGACACAGCGCACCACAGATCGCCGCGCTGCGAGCTCCGGGAGCCGCGCATACACGGTTAGAATGGGAGGATGTCATATGACGTCCACCCAGAACGAGAGAACCACCTTGTGTCCATTATACTACTGCATGGCAGGCGGGAGTTGGTTAATATTAACACTTTTTTGTTTGTTAATATATTTTTACATTTAATGCACAGTATGTTTACACTTTCCCTGCAAAATTGAAAAAAAAAATTGTAAATAACTTTGTAATGCTTTATACCAGAATCAGAATTTTAGTGTCATTTTAAAAAGGACAAATTACAGAATAAAATGCACACTTCTTTTCTGCAGTAACACTATTTATTTATTTTTAAACTAATGCTGGTCAAAAAAAGAAAGTGTGTTTGTTCAGTTTTGTTTAATTTAATTCTCTATGGATTGTGAAAAAAAAATGGTTGCAAGACAATAATTATGAAAAAAAAGTATTGTTTTTCCTTAAAAAAACAATATATACTGTATCTATTACTTTTTTTATCTTAAGTAATGACACAGTTATCACTGAGTAAACAGGTCTACTGTATATCAGAAATGTAAACATTACTCTAGCCCATAGGGGGTGAACTGGTGTGAGAGGCAAAGTGGTTAAACCAGGCCAGGGCTAAAATGTGGGTTCTGTATTTACCATTAGACGTCTTCCCAAGTTCTGGTCCAAAATTCTTGAATGGTCTGTTATGCAAATGACCGTTAGATCCTCCTCTTCTCAAGTCCCCTGCCGCTGCTCCTGGCCCTTCCCCCCTGCTGAATGCCAGAACAAGCAGCTTGCAAGCAGTGCTCACTCCCGAGCCACCCTTGTGTGTCTATGAGACACACAGAGTGTTGCTCGGCTCTGCCCCTGCTCCCTCCTCACTGGCTCCCATTGCTGTGTCTCAGCCAGTGAGGAAGCAGAAACCTTCTGCTCTCGTGTACATTGCTGGCTCGGGATCGGGCTCAGGTAAGTAATGGGGGGAGGCTCAGAGGGGAGCTGAAAACCTTCAGCCTTTAGAACACATTTGGATTGAATCCTGGCTGTTTAGGTGTCCAGACAAACCCCCAAACATTTACCTATATGTTGTGAGCTGAGCATCATATACTATATGGTGTTACTTCTGTTATTATACATGACAGCTTCCCCCTGTCAATGGCTGTTAAGGATGTTTGCAAGTGCAGTCCTTAACAACTTTAAGACTGGCATGTTAAAGAGGAGCTTTACTCTCTCAATAAATATTAATTACTATTACTTATAGGCATCTTATTTCCTGATGACTTATCAGATGTTTGAAGGCCCTGGAGTGCTGGGATATTTTTTGCACACAACATGGGCATACTAAAAATTACATCCAAAAACACATTTTTGCTTCTGAGTATGGGAATTCCCCACATATGAAACATTTTAAGAGCCTAGCTGCAAAGATGGGCCCAAAATCGAAGGAGCACCTTTAAGCCTTCAACAGGCATTAGTTATCTGTCTAATTTTCTGACTGCTTTTCAAATTTTTGGAGGCTGTGGAGCACCAGGACAGTAGAAACACTCACATAATGACAACATTTTGGATACTAAACACCCAATGCTATTTTATTAAGAGGCATAGTGAGTCTTTTGAAGATTTCATTTTTTGCCACAAGCTTTTTGAAAATGCAGAAAAAAATAAAAATTATTTTATTAACATAAACTTGTTAATTTGCTAAGATATTTTTCACACAATATTCTTAGAATTTCACCCCAAAAAGCATTCTGCTACCTCTCCAGTGTATACGGACACCACATGTGGTATTCCCCTTTTCAATGTTTGGACTGATTACTAAACATTGTATCTTGTGTATCACAACAATAAACCAATTTTACATCAAAAACAGTGTACTGTAATGCTGGTCTCAGTGGTCAGGAAAAAAAGCTTAGTTTAGCCTCACTTGTAGCAGTCCCCATTCCTATGAGCCAAGCAAGCCTAGCCTACTGGTATGTGGCTGCCCCCAAGAATGCCATGTTCACTGGCCATAAGGTACAAGGGGCTGAACAAAAGAGTTCCTGTGGATTCAAAAGTGCAGTTGTCTTCAGGGATGGCTGGGACTGGTGTCTCGCAGGAACACACACAGTGGGACGTGCAGATAGGTCAGTAAATGAAGCAGGCAGGAACATGTTCAACAAACAGGCAAAGAATCAGGCTAGGAAGCAGGCACAAATCTGGTCAATAAACAGGCCAGGGTCAGTATAGGAGGCAACTGGTGTGGTGATCAGGAACACTGTTGTTGGCTTCACTGGCTCTGGTGATACTACATACTACTGATGTGGTAGCAGTTAGGGACACTGTTGATGGCTGGAATGGCTCTATGGCTCTGGTAACACTGGCACTGGTGTGGCAAGTGATTAGGAACGCTGTTGATGGTTTACACCGGTTTGTTGACACTGGGACCGGTATGGCTAGTGATCAAGAACACTGTTGTTGACTTATACTGGTTTAGTAGTACTGGGACTTGTGAGGCGGGGATCAGAAACACTGTTGATGGCTGCACTCGTCTGGTGTCACTGGGACAGATGTGGTGGTAATCAGAAATACTGATGCTAGCTGTACTGCCTGTGGTGACACTTGCATTGGTGTGGCAACAATCAGGAACACTGTTGATGGCTTACTGGTCTGGTGGCACTGGGACTTGTGTAGCGGCAATCAGAAACACTGTTGCTGGATTACACTGGTCACATGACACTGTGGCTGAAGTGACAGTGATCAGGAAAACTGTATCCAGCACAGCTATTTTAGCATATCATACTGAGCTAGCAGAAAATGCTTGCAGTCAGCAATGACACATTCTCTTCATAGTATTGAAGATGTAATAAATATAAAAGAAAAATACTAGGTATGCTGTGTGAATAGGAACAAACATACAGGGGGTTACCAGTATTTACTAAAATTCTGGTGTAGAGAGAAACCAATCATCTCACGTTTTTTTTCTTATGTCAAAGACTAATTGAACAAGCTGAATTTAGAAGCTGATTGGCTACCATGCCCAGCTACACCAGATTCTGAGTGCTTCGGTCTTAGTAAATCTCCCCCACAGGGTTGTTTTCCCAAATATGGCTCCAGAAGCAGAAAAACACTTGAAAAGCCCCTTGAAATAGTGTCAGTGCATTTATTTGTGTACAACTATGTTTTCTTTTTGTGTATACAAGTTGTTGTATGAATGATTTCTCTATAAAAAGGCATTTCTGAACCAGAGAGAAGGTCACTGTTTTTAGTAACAGTAACATTTCAGTTTTATTGAAAAATATATCTTACCTCCCTTTGGGATGGACAATAGGACCCCTTCCATTTTCTTCACTTGCATACTTATTCTTTCACTCCCCCTATGATTCCTTGCAAAAACTGCCCATTCTGAATACCACAAGCGATAATGTCCTGTTGATTCCCTTTACAGAAAATGGTGTGATTTTGTCTGGTGGGGAACTGGCCAATTGCTCTAATGGAGCCACCTCCCCTGGGTGCAGTATAAGGATGTCATTTAGTCCAAAATGGGAAGTAAAATACAGCAGCTTGTGATTACTGCAAACTTTATTCAACAACATACAATTTGTTCTTTGACATGTTTTTAGTCAATTTAAAAAGAAAATAGCATTTAAAGCAAATCTTATTTTATTAAAGTATAAATGAGTATATAATCAGCTTAACTAAAAAAATTGTTGGTGTATTTTAGTATTTAAAAACTTTGTTTCTATTTGTAGATTACATAAATAGTGGCTTTGAACTTTGCTCATTAATGACTAGTCTTGAATGCACCTTTTTCAGTGAAATATACAGATGGCTAAGACAGAATAGTTTCATTTAAAGCTATGAGTGTAATTTACCAATATTCAAGTTCATCTAGTCATTAATATAATACAGACTTCTGAGAGTACATCTTATATTTTATTTCCTTGCATGTTTTGTTCAGAAAATGTGCTGATTGTGATGTCTGACATACAGATAGAGAGAGCATTATTTAAATTTATAAATATTATTATGAATAATAGGGTTAAGGAAGCTTCCAATGATTGCCAAAAACATTTAAAGGTACTTTGTCACTGGAAAGGGCAAACAGTGCCAGAAATGTAATACAGGCCCCTGGAGGTGCCTGCACATGATTGTAGCAGCTTGTCAAATTTCCTGTCATGGTTAACCATAGCAGTCTATGTCTCTTTGACTGTCCCATTTTTCCACACTTCTCTTGTTTTCTACCTCTCCTTTCATGGAATGGATGGTGGATAGTTCTCTGATACCTTTTCCTTCAGAACCCTCCTCAATATGGACAGGAGGAGGCCTGGTTCCCCTCCTCCTACAGTTTCTGGGGAAGGCCATATCTGAAATTGACTTGTTGCTTGGCAGTCTTCCTTCTGTTTGATGGCATGGTTACACTCCAGATTTTCTCTGTGGTGCATGTGATGACTGTACCAGCGGTGGTGGAGGTTTGTCACTGAGGAAGCAGGACCTCCAGCTGATTCCACTTGAACGAGTGAGATTGCAGTGACATCATATCTTTGCGCCAGAGGTTCTGGTTCTTTACTTAATTTCAGTAATGCATGAAGGGGACATGCTAACTAGTGCTTTCTTTGGTGGTCCCTTCCAACATCGGATTGTACACCCTGTGAGCAGATGTTGGACTTTTCTAAATCACCATCAGGTTTAGAGCAGAGAGTGGGCTACAGAAGCCAGAAGTATTTGCCACACTGTCAGATTGATGGGGGCATTCTGAGGTGGATCATTTTGTCTTTTGAGAAAATACAAAACCTGGGTTTTTCTTTTCTTAACCTGAGGGACAGGGTGAGTCACCATAGACAAGCTCACAAATTTTTGGTGGTTCCATCTCTGCAAAGCCTTTTTTCTTTCAGACTTATCCATGTAATTCTTCAAAAGTTCAAAGAGGAGCTCTCGAATCTTCTCCAGATTCCTCAATTTTGACCAAAGGTGCCATGGTTTTCCATTCTTTTGTCTCTGGCTGTATCATCCTTTGGTTAC